CTTGATTAAGAGGTTTATAACTTTATCACATAGTTGAAGTAGAGCGACCTTTGATATTTCTTTGTGGTTTGTGATAAAAGTAGCATTAAATTATCATTGTTAACACTTACTTTTCTGAAACTGGATGCTTTGAACAGCCTTGGTCCCCACCTTAGGGCTGGACCTGATATCTCCAGGACTGATAATGGAAACATCCAAAAATGGAAGATGCACAAGTCCATTTAGAAGTTCTGCAGCTTAAGAGTTAACAACTTAATTCCCTAGAATTTTTATATTCTGTTCTATATCTAACTTGTCTGCAAAATCCTTCTTAGTTTAACTTGTCTGCAAAATTCAACATTAATTCTGTCTGAAAAATACAGATTTTTCTAATATTCCCCTATTATTTTTTATTCTGTGCTATATCTAACTTGTCTGCAAAATCCTTCTTATTTTAACTTGTCTGCAAAATTCAACATTATTTCTGTCTGCGAAATACTGATTTTCTTTATGTTCCCCCCTCATTTTATATTCTGTTTTATATCTAACTTGTCTGCAAAATCCTTCTTATTTTAACTTGTCTGCAAAATTCAACATTAATTCTGTCTGAAAAATACAGATTTTTCTAATATTCCCCTATTATTTTTTATTCTGTTCTATATCTAACTTGTCTGCAAAATCCTTCTTATTTTAACTTGTCTGCAAATTTCAATATTAACTTTTTCTGCAAAATACAGATTTTGCTTATTTTCCCTTATCATTTTATATTTTGTTCTATATTTAACTTGTTTGCAAAATTAAATCTCAATTCTGTCTGCAAAATACAACTTTTCCCAATAGTCAACTGTTCTGAATTTAACTTGTCTGCAAAATTCAACATAAATTATGTCTGCAAAATATAGATTTTCCTTATTTTCACCTATGATTTTATATTTTGTTCTTAAGTTAACTTGTCTGCAAAATCCTTCTTAGTTTAACTTGTCTGCAAAAGTCAACCTCTATTCTGTCTACAGTATACTTTATGTATTAACTTAAAAAAGTTAATTAATATTGTTTGTTTGTTATAATCATTATATCCTGTCTCATGCAATTACTTAATGTTTTTTTAAATTATATTCTTTTATTTATTTTATAAAAGCATAAATTATTCTAAAAAAAATATTATTCAAACTATTTTTCAAATAATAAATAAAGTTTTGCAAATAATTATAGATCTTTCTAGATGGCATTAAATCAATATAATTGCCCATGACAAGGGATTAAACACCCCCTATTATACTCTATATTGTCTGCAAAATCTAAAATCCTTCTTTATTTAACTTGTCTGCAAAATCCCTCTATGTTTAACTTGTCTGCAAAGTCGTCTGCAAAGTATACCGACTCTAGTTTATTTCAATATGGAAAGCAATTTCTTTCGCACTGAATTTGAATATCTTGACTGTAAATTTTTTTGATACTTCTAAGCATTCGACCAGTGCAGACCACAATTAGATGGTACATCTGTGTCATCTGGTCATGGTCTGCACTTTTCATTGTTCAGTCAATACTTATTTTGAAACTTTCCTTAAAAATGATGAATTGTTTTGTCCAGGTCGAAAAAAGTTCATTTAAGATATTTGTCGTAGTAATGTTTTATTTAATTTTGCTAGAACAAGCAAAATTCAGAAATATGATATTTACACTTAGATAATCAAAATTACGACAATAATAGTTTTCCTTTTTTGCCGACATAAAACGAGTATAGTACCTTTTTCAATTAGTGGAGGAAACTTGGATTAAATTGTAAAGTTACTAAGGGTAACAATTAACAAATATCTTTTATTTTGAGATATTAATTGAAAATTCCATTAGAAAATATAGACAGAAAAAAGTATGTTATTTTAATAATAAACTATCTGAAATTCATCTCGCTGAACAATAACAGAAGTTTAGGTGGAGGTAATAACTAATGCTTTCTTTTCAATAATGAAAACTTTTGTTTATACTTGTTTTTTAACCTTGTACATATAATCTTGGATTGGTTTGTTAAATTTTAGATTAATATGTGAAAACACAATTGCTTTTTATAGCAACGGTGCAGGTCCACTTTCGTTGTGATTGATCATGAAATCCTATCTACAGTCATTCGCACTGTACCTCTGCTCTAGCCAGAGCTGCATCGGTATTGAGGGTGTAGTACTTAAGTACCAGTACCAGTACTTGCCAAGTTATGCAGTACCATTACCAGTACCAGTACTAGATTTTAGCTCGGTACTGCAGTACCAGTACTTTTTTAGGGGAAGTAATTAAGTATCAGTACCATTACTTTTATATATTCATCAAAGTTTGAATAAATACACAGTGTCAAACAGAATAATTGCAAATATTATTTAGCAAAGAAATAAAATCATTATTTACTTTTAAGTTAACATTACATATTTACAATTTTAATGTTTTAACATACTTTTTACGAACAATATTTACAACATACTGTATATTCATGTCATAACTTATTGTTTAGTAACAAGTCCACTGTTATACAATGCAATCATCTTTCATTTAAAACAAAATAGTCTTCTGTTGCCTTTCACACCTTCACACCTCTGTTCAATTTATATTAAAGTAAATAACAACTTTTTATGGTGCTAACAATATCACTTGAAATATGATTATTTACAATAGAAGCAATGAAGTGTTTATTTTGCTCTTTTTTTTTACTAGTAAATACAAAGTAATACAAAATTGTAATAAGGATATTTTAGGGTAAAGATTAATTGAGTCTGTTTATCTCAATTTAATTTTTACTTCAAGTCTTTGGTGCTTTGTAACACCGCAAAACGTCCGTACCGCAAAACGTACGTATACGGACGTTTTGCGGCGCATATCGTCCACATTTTTCTGACGTACATTTTGCGGCAAAAAGGCATGGTCCTGCCGCATAACGTCCATATTTTAAAGTTTATATAATTTTTGTTAATTTTGACCAGTTATTATCAGGTGTTATTGTGTTTTAATTTTACCTGAGTATGCGCCTGTCTGTCCGTCCAAATTTAGCTTGTTACCACTCTAGCATCCACATACCCTAAGCAATATGGCCAGTTATTTGCCCTTGAATTACAATATCTGTTATATTTCACATTGTTACCACTCCAACGCTTTCATTTCTTCTTCAATCTTGACGATTTTCAAGAGAATATCTATGACCATAAAATCTAAACAAAGTTAGATTATAGGTTAAATCTAACAAAAATAAACAAAAACAAAAACGCGCTATATTTCACCTTGTAAGTGCTTTCGTTTCTTCTCCATTCTTAATTTTTTTATACAGAATATGTATAACAATAAGGTCTCGATCAAGTTCATTTATGAGCTAAGAGGATTCCCATCCCCGCTCCCCGCGACAAAAGCTCTCTTGCTCAATAATGACTAGGCGACTTAAAGGCCCTCTCCATGATAATATAGCTCTCTCGCTCAAATATGACTACGCTGTCAAAAGTCCCCATCTATCCCCCGTAAAAATGAACGGTAGAACCAAACCTCCATAGTCAACAAGAACACAAAAAATCATCCTCACTTCTTGATGCAATTATATGAAAAGCTATTGTCAAAAGCAAAGCTTAATTTTAATATTTTTTGTCATTCACTCAGTCCAATCCCCGGTTCGTCCGTCCGTATAGCCGTCCTTTTCTGTATGTCTATAAGATTACATTTATTTCAATATCATCGTTTTTATATCTCTGCTGCTGCTTCTGCTTGGTTCCATTCCATAAAAAAATCTATTCGAAAAACATCCTCAGCTTAAGCATATTTCTCTTTTTTAAATAAAAAAAGTCAGAATTATATAGGATCACAAAAATATTGCACTTTAATGTTTATTTCGTAATATCTTTACCTGAAACAATATGAAAATGACAGAACCAATAAAAGTAACGTTTATAATGAATATATTTTAATACAGAAAATATGGACGATATGCGACGCAAATACACACTCCCGCCGCAAAACGTACCAAGTACGATATGCACCGCAAAACGTCCACATGTGTACGATATGCGACGCAAAACGTCCACACGCGTACGTTTTGCGGTACGGACGTTTTGCGGTGTTACAGTGCTTCTTTTTATGATGAATACTATGTTAACATTTGAAGGAATATTGCATCAAATTATCTATAGATTTGCTAACTTACTTTTTCACAATAATAAAATGATGCATGTAATTTACAGCTTAACTTTATGAGAAAAATTGATGACATTTTTATCAAAACCAAAATTACTGCCTTGTTATGCAGTATAGTAGTACCACTTTTTAAGACAGTGATGCAGTACCAGTACCAGTAGTAGCAACATTTTATAAGAGTTATTCAGTATCAGTACCAGTACTTGCAAAATCGCTGCAGTACCAGTACCAGTAATGCAGCTCTGGCTCTAGCATGTACAGAAGTTATGAGGTCCTTGCGAAAGTGAAGGCACTATAGCCAGAAACGATACGGTGGCTGAAATGTGTAAATACAATGTGGGTCCCTGTCTACAAACACTACCGCCACCACAATAGTAGAAACAAAATATCACCAAAAGACCTGGACCACCATGTCAATAGTTTTCTCTTCTATAAAATGACGGAATCAAATGAAAATACTATTAAATTTTACATAATTTAAACCAGTAGATTTTTTATTTTACCACAAAGACATAAGAAATCTTTGGCCTTCCTCCTTCTGTAGATGTTTAAGCAAGGTGCAATAACGCTGTATTAGATCTATTTTATATAATAAATGGTATATACAATCATTATTATACTTATGATACCTAAATATTTTCTTTATTATCTTCATTTAATTAACAGTCCTTTGGTGGGTTTGTAGTAATGTTCAACTTGGGTACGAAAACTGAATATTAAAAAGTGATTAATTATACATGTATGTTACATGTGTGCAGAATTGATTAACAGGGTGATTCATAATATCTTATACAGTTTGTTCATTTCAAATATTAATAGAATGTTGTTCAATAATAAGTCAATAATGAATGTTATATCACATGATAGAGTATGGACATCTAATACAGTTTTATTTGAACCAAAAGTATGGGGAAAAGGTTGGCGTCATGACGTCATAACAAGTGCTTGTTTTTGTTGTTTTGTTGGATTTTTTTTCAAGATGGCGCTCTCAAAGCAAAAGGCTGTATAATCAAGCTGTTTCTCTATTCTTCGAGAAACTACAGATTCTTTTCAAAACTTTGATGAACGCCAAACGAAATTCCTTGTTAGTAAAAGCATAGATGAAAGGATTTAAAGTAGAATTAACGTAAGTAGACCAGAAGAAGAACGAATATAATCCGGCTGGTACCAGTTCAGGTTTCCATGCGTATGTATCGAACGCTATGTAAAATGGGAACCAACATATCAAGTAGCTAAGTAGAACGTACGTTAGGGTAATGAATATTCTCTGTTCACGTTGCTGACTGTTGGACACACGGTATGGCCTGTTTGCTGATTGTGTTTGGTTGCTCGGGGCATCCGTGTCATCTGCTTGACTTGGTGACCTTGACGGCGGTGAATTCTGGTTTCCTACGATACACAATGAAGTTGTTGGCGTCAAGAAGCGTCCGTTAGATGTTTCATTTGCAGCAAGTTGGTCGTTTGAATGAGTGTTGCCAAAGTAAACATTTGAAGTTTTCGAGGAATTGCCAGACATGTTATATGAAATAGCCTGCACATTAACTCTCACCGATGATGCAGCACCTCCCTGTGCAGAGCTAGTCACAAGAGATGATTGTTTCCTCATAACCATAAAAACCTGTGTAAAAGAAAAAATACAGAATAAACTATATGCGTGACTGTTATAAATTTTGATTGTTTATTAGGCCTACATTTAAAGACTTATTAACCTCTACAACATAAATATCAACAATGGACATCTTGACATCCTTTTCAGGAAACATTTTCAAATTTGTACTGACTAAATAGCGAACAATGCAGATATTCCGTCTGATCTAGGTCGGCTTTTTTTGAATATGACCGAAAGCAGGCTAAATGAAAACAAGGTTATTCTAAAATGAATTCTGATCTAATTGTAACAGGTGAAGTCAAAGAACTGTTTTATTGTAATTGATGAGACACAAATTTGATTACCAGCGCTTAATACACAACAAAGATTATCTCTGTAAAGTGCATTTGTACGGTGGCTCAAAGGTGACATGTGTGTGTTTTTATTTATCTCGTGCGCACAAGCTATTATGTCGTGGCCACGAGTTACTAAGTCGTCGCCACGAGATAGCTAAGTCGTGGCCACGAGATAGCTAAGTCGTGGCCACGAGATACTCATTCGACGTCTAGTGCTATATATATGGCCCTTTAAAGAATTTGATACGTTAGTTCAAACAGATACTCAGATAGTCACACTTACGCACGTTAGGACTTTATGTCACGAGTCAGAGACATGCCTTGACACATTTTAAGGATACGCATTGTAGATAAGGGGGCCAAAGTTCTATTCCCGGGGGAAAAGGTGCAATTCTTTATCTGACAAGAATCATTTGGGTCATCGTCTATGATTTGTAAATTCGTTTGAATCAAAGTTTTATTACTTTGCATGCGATTGAATAACTGAATCACTAGAAACAAAATGAAAAGATTAAAGAAATAGCAATGTTGCATTCAAACAGGCGCTTTGAATGTTTCGTAATATATAGGCCTCTAGTTGTACCTATATCTATAATCAGGTGGGTGTTGGATGAATGTATCCTCCCATAGACCGAGAAATTTCCAAAAAAGAATTAAATTGTCTGTATAAACATTCAAAATTTTATCATGTTAAAGAATGTGTATTCTACACTGAGCTTCATGTGGCAACAAAGAAACCTGATATTTTCAACAATGTGTCTTTGTGAAGTAAAAACTTTAGAAATTGACAAAATCCACACCACGTCTGTATTAGAAGTCATTCTGAGATGCCAGGAGACATGTCAAGCTTGTAAAAGGTTCGAAAAGACCCCGATTCCATAAAAAATTATATACATAATTTCTTCATGGGAAAACTGTTAATTTAAATTATTAAAATAATAACGAATGTAATTGTACATTGGACCACTGGACAACACTGTGAGACGAGAATAGACTATGGTATTGTAATATAGAGTTCAGACACAGTTGACATTGTTTAGTCTTAATGTCGTAGATCTAAAGTTGATTGTAAATTACAATAAAATTTGAATTTGAATCTGTTAGTAGTATAAATAGTGTAATTTTCAAATTTTCGAAGTGTTTTTAAGCTTGTATTTAGCAGTAGTTATTATTAAAGTAATTCTAATTCCTGGGTACAATATGTATACATGTACATGAATACATGATTCAATGATGATATTTCATGTGTATCTTATGAATGATCATTCATTCATTCATGCCTTAATATAGAAAAAAAAAATATTTTGTGTTTTTGTCTGAAAATGTATATTTTTGTTTTCAAAAATATTTTCAACTTGCTTCAATCAGGCTACTGTATCTGTTACCAAAGGTTTAACGATTCAAACCCCGTTAAGGCCAATGTATTGTTTCCATGGGAGCAGATTCGAGTGTGTTTAGATAAGCTTACAACTTCCAACACATCCGAACTAAAATAAATTTGTATAAACTAAACAGTTAAAATTTGCATCAAAGTTGCCTTTATGTTTTGTATTAGCTGTCGTATGTATCATTGTACATTAAGCTCAATAATGTTCCGTGCCTGACGTTTTAGTGCTTGGGTGAGCTTTTGTCTGTGATAAGAATATGTCTGTCGTCCGTCGTTAACCACATGTTCTTTAGAATTATCTCTTCTTTTAATCATAAGGTGGATATTAATCCAACTTTAAGTACGACCTTTTACATAAATGGTCTAAATGGGCCACAGGAAACTACGACAGCAGAGCTAAGATAGTAAGATATGTAGCATTACTTCGTGGGTTTTCCACACACAGAATGTATCAGTCAATTCTAGGAAAGAATCAATGCGTTGTACCTTCTAAGGTTAATTATATTTATTTTATGCTTTTCAGTGGATTACTGATTTATCCGTGAAAATTATATTTGATAATTTCACAGTGAAAATTATCAAAATATAATTTCACACTTTTCAATGACGAAACTACTTTTTTAATATTTTCCCTATGTGGTACCTCATTTTATTTTTGCTGACAATTCTGACAATGTCAGGCTGTTTTAAGAAAAAGCAAAGTTGAAATTGATAAATAACTTAAATGTCAAAAGTAATAAAAAGAAGAAAACTTACAAATTACAATCACCGAATTTCGTCTCTAATTTTTGTTTGTTTCATTTTTACAGTCTGAAAAATACATTCCTTCCACATGCAAAACTGCTCTTGATGACATTTGGGCATATTAAAGTATCCTACGAGCAAAAACTGCCGTATGCTTTATGAACAATTGAAAAGCAATGACAGCCATCAGCTCGAAGAATAAGTAAACAACCCAGCGTTCCTGAGCCAGCTTCCAAGTTTTCGATTTTCCTAGCTGCTTTTTGAATGTTTTCACATCTGTAAACACTTATTTTTTGTCTGTTACAATCCTCAAATAAGTTTTCCTTCTTTTAACAAATCCAAATGATATCCCTCTGAATCAAACAAAATTATTTTCCTCCCGTGAAATACACAACTTTAAAAAATGGCTGCCGCTTACATTTGAGAAATTCCAACTAAATAGGGCTCTCAATGGGGAAAAATGGGGAAAACAGATTTTAATATTAACGATAATATTATGGAAATTTCGTTTAACTTGTTTTTAAGCATAAATTAAAAAGAAAATTTGTTTGTTGTGTAAGATGTAATTTATTTCATCGAGTGGACTTTAAAAACAGTATTCTCACAAACAAACAAAATTAATATCCTCTATATAATAAGCAACCCGAAGTCAATTTAATGAAACACAGTGACTGTTCTAAATCATATAATTATGTAACATTTAAAATCAATACGTGTTTTATATATCTGTCATGTAACCTTCACAGACAATGTCATAGGATTAAAGACTAAAGATACTTTAAAAAGGGTCACTTATTATAATTCACTATTGATATGGATAAAAAAAATTGTATAAATGCATTGGAAAATTTATGAATACACTAAAATCTAAAAGGGCATATATGGAAGTTACGCCCCAATTACATAAGTCCGAGTAACAAATTTAAGAGTGTAACTGCTAGTTACGTCCTTTTAGAACTATTGACCGTTGCACGAAAATGTAAATATTAAAAGTGCATAAAACGGATTTCCACGAGTTACTTAGTCGTGGCCACGAGATATTATGTCGTGGCCACGAGTTACTGAGATAGCTAAGTCGTGGCCACGAGTTACTATGTCATGGCCACGAGATACTATGTCGTGGCCACGAGTTACTTAGTCGTGGCCACGAGATAAATAACCAATCAGATTACACCATATATCGTGGCCAAGACTTAGTAATTCGTGGCAACGACATAGTATGTCGTGTGCACGACTTAGCTTTATCGTGGCCACGACTAAGTAACTCTAGGCAACGACATAGTATCTCGTGCTCACGACTTAGCTGTCTCGTGGCCACGACTTAGTAACTCGTGGCCACGACATAGTATCTCTCGCGCACGAGATAAATAAAAACACACATATGTCACCTTTGTGCCACCGTACATTTGTGTGACTTTAAGTAGTTTATTTTAGCAGAAAATCATGATGATACATGGTATAAAGTTACCTTTATATGACCGAAAACAATGATGGCACATGGTGTTATTTACCTTTATCATGATTAAAAATGGTAAAAGTTCATTATGTTCCAGAAAACCATGATAAATTTACCTTTATATAGCAGAAAACCATGATCGCACATGGTATATAATGGCCAATTACTGCTACAAATATAACGAATTCAGTATTGTCATTAGGTTCCCAAATACAAGAGTGAGGTTCGCTGTGCTTTAGACGATCTCCAATAAATGGCGGCGTCCAAATTGCTATAACTAAAACCCTGCAAAAGAAATGAGTTTTATATTGGCTTCGCATGACTGGCATAATTATTCTTAAAACTTGTGTATACCCATGGCAATAACATAAATGAACCATCTGAAATTGATTTTTTTGCGATTGCAAGAATATACAAAATGAATAATAAACGAATTAACGAAATTATCCTAAGTTTGATTTTGGTAGTATGAAATACGTAACATATATTTGTGATGGCTTCTATTTTTCAAATTTAATAAATCTAGATCATACAAGTTTCTACTTCGTTACAGTAAAATGATGTATAAATGGGAAAATTTAATTAGCGATGATACAATTAACCAGAGTTTGATTATATGCTTGTACTGAAGGTGGTGTTTATACTGTTGAACTATATTAGTGAATACAGATTAGTTCTAGTTTTAACTTATCTAAAATTGCGTTGTCCGTGTGACATTATTCAACATGTCAATGTGACTTTTATCAACATATCAATGTGACAATTATTAACATGTTAATGTGACATTTATTAACATGTAAAAGTGACATTTATTAACATGTTAATGTGACTTTTAATGACATGTTAAAGTGACATTTATTAACATGTTAATGTGACTTTTATCAACATGTGAATGTGACATGTTGAGTGTAACATTTATCAACATGTCAATGTCACATTTATCAACATTTTAATATGACATTTATCATGTATGTCAATGTCAAATTATCAACATGTCAATGTGACAAATATCAACATGTCAATGTAAAATTTATCAACATTTCAATGTGACATTTATTAGCATGACAATGTCTCATTAACAACATTTCAATGTGACATTTATCAACATGGCAATGTCTCATTATTAGCATTTCAATGTGACATTTATCGACATGTCAATGTTAACATGTTAATACAAAAAAACTGTGGTATTCATGCAGTTGTCTGTTTCAATTGAATATTACACAATGGCTGAATATACATGCATACATTTGTTTGTTTATACGGAATTAACAGATTGCCTTCTACATTTCTACCTTATTCTTGCAGAAAATGTATTTTAGACATAAAATAAGTATGGGCTTTCAAAATGTTAAAATCTTAAGTAAAATTATGAAGTATTAGTTTTGTCTGATTTTTATAATTGAGTCTTTGTTCCGACGTCATCAGCTCACAATATCATGCGCTTCTATATAATAAATAATGAAATGCATGCAAATAATTTCCTTTAAGAAGAATATGGCTTTAAAAAATTAGTTCAGCTCTTTGATTTGCCTATGAAAAGTAATCTGCTGATGATTTTTAATTCAAAATGTCTTAATTTTTTTCATGTTTAAGAGTTGAAGACGTTGATGGTAGCTTAAATTTAATAAAATTCATGAACAAAATTGCAGGATTGCCGTATTAGATACATTCTATAAAGTTGTCTCTTTTTTTCTACATGTTTTATTAGAAGTTAAAGTGACACAAGCAAGTAAGCGACATTGCAATCTTTATCAACCTCTAAACCTTTATCATGAATGATTATTTTTTACAAATATCGTCAAACAACATCCTTGAAGGTATTTGTTTTTAAGAACAAAAGATGCATAAATTCTGTTTAAGCAAATCAAACCTGAATTGTATTACGTTTTGAAATTACCGTAAATTAAGCATTTAAATTTGTATGATTTTATAAACGATTTCATGAAAATATATGTAAATGATTTTTCATTTATATCCAACAGTTATCATCGTGAAAATATTTCCATTGATATAATTCCGAGTTTGATAATGTTAATGAAAATAAAACAGAAATCCGTAACTATGGTAGCTGATTTGGTACGCTTTTGTGCGTCGCGTTGGCGCTAGCCACAACACGACAAAACGCCAAACGGCGCACTGTCGTATTGTCGTCCTGTCTCTAGCGCGGTACACCAAACGGCGCGTTGTCGTGCGGCGTGTTGTCGCGATGTGACATTGTCGCTCGGTTCAAATTGAAGGATTGGCTTATAAGCCAAGCGGCAGGACGACATCGCGCCTCACGACAACACGCCGTTTGGCGTGCCGTGCTATAGACAAGACGACAACGCGACAACGCGCCGTTTGGCGCTTTGTCGTGTCGTCGCTAACGACAGGACGACAAGACGAAAGTCCGACAACGCGCCGTTTGGCGCTTTGTGTTGTTGTCGCTAGCGCCAACTAGACGACGCACAAAAGCGTACCAAATCAGCCAACATACATAACTCATACACTCAATATATAGCATCGTATACAGTACAGAAAAGAAAATTGACAATTATAGATTGTCCAAAGAATGTCTCATATCATAACAAAGGGAATCAAATTATCTTTGTAATATTTCATAAATTTCTTCCTAATGTCAATAAATAACGAACGTACCGAGAAGAATATAATGGAAAGTCGCATTTCATAATAGTCTTACATTCGCTTAATGGTCAAGTAATGTTAAAAAAAGCTGTCGTTTTGTATTTTTGAAAAGCTTTTTATTTCTGTCCTGTTACAATTTCCAAAAAAGTTAATCATTGACCATATACCTGAGACATCTTTTGCTTCTCTTACAGTTTGGCAATTGTTGCCATTACAATGCTTTAGTATTTTTGTTTGGAAGTCATAATACTACTTTGTTTACACTTCGCTACCTTTACCACAAATAATTTCTCATTCAACGCTACTTTCGTCAGATATTGGGCATTTCAAATGCTATACGTCCGTTAGTTCAACATAATAAAACACAAGTTTGCCCTTTTCTACAGACATACAAATTGTCTGCAATACTTTAATTAGTTTATTCCGTATTATTACAACAGTAATGGTTTTAGTCTAAAGGCCAAAAAGGGGGAAATTATTGCTTGTTTCAGCCATTGGCTGTTAATATTTTCATGTCGACTTACGGTAAATTTACGAGCCATTCGCCATTGGGCAGGTGAATGCACGAACTAATCACTTTCTCTTTCCAGCTTTAACAATTAGTCCTTGAAATATATTATGAGTTCACAGCTGTCAAACCTATATTGGACGAGGCTAATTCCGAGACTGATAGGTGAGTCCAGTAGAATCAGTATTGTTTTCAACGATGTTAAATGGCCTCTTTATTTAACATTTTTGACATTGGAACAGAGTTTTAATACTTTAAATACAAGAAGGAATTGATAAAATTATTTTACCTTGAAAATTAAAATGAGGCTAGATGGAGAACGATATGCATTTGATATAGATATTTTGGACTCTAAAACTGAAAACGAGGCTAAAAAGGGTGTGATATGCATTAAATATGGATGTTTTGTACTCTAGAAATGAAAACGAAACTGAATTGACAAGATTGGATCCGATAATGACTTCTCTTTGAACATCACGTGGTTCAAACGCTGAAAGTTCATTGGTTATATTTTATAAGGTGTGAAATAAATGTTATTATTGAAAATAACAAAATAATATGATGACTATTGAAAATAGGTAGGTGTTTTGTTTTGTTTTTTTAAATTTGAGTGTAGACAGACGAAGAAATAGAGTGGTACATTTTATTTATTTCATCATGAAAATAGAGACTAATGGATTCCCTAAAGAATGTCCAAAATGGCAAAATTGAAAATGAGTTTTACTGAGACTGTTCATGGACGGTGCCCACGCCCCATAGCCCCGGCTGAAGGAGAATTTAACATTTAAACATGAAAAGGATGAACTTTTGAATTAAGAAACATCCACATTTGTTTATACGAACTAAACAAAATAGAATTTTGAAATGGGAAACCTGTATATCACAGACAAGACGTCAAAAGACAAAATTAAAAGGCAAGCCACATATCTTAAAGATGATTATACAATATTCAATACTAAGTTTATTAATGAAACTTCAGTGAATAAGTGAATATTACAATCTATATGGGGTGAAATGAACCGACCGCCTCATAAGAAGTTTTGGTGCAGTGCCACAAACCATCGCCAAGGAATATGCGAAAATTGTCCAGTAGTGAATAAATCTACCAAAATATTATGAAAAAAATTGGGTCACATCCATGTGACAACGTTCCCAGATTGTAAATAACAGTCAGTTAATAATAACTTAAGGGTACATTTTTTTGCGATTTTGGCTTATAAAGCTATTTCATTTATTGGGTATTTAAATTTGTGTTCCTTTTGAAATCTAATAAATGCAATATCATATCATGTCTCTCAACTGTACTTATTGAAAATTTGAGCATGATCGTACCAAACTTGGCGAATAGATGAGAACATTTATACATGCACACTAATAAGATTTGTTCAGTGTATTTCTGGAGTATTAGAACACGAAATAATATCTAGCAGCTGTTAAAACAAGTTAACCTCGACCGAGTATCTTTTTCACGATCATTTATTTTTCTTTACTTTTTGTTTTACACCTGATTAAATAAAGCAAAATTGTATTCTGATTGCTAATTAATCTGAATCAAATTAGATTAAGAACGGCTCCTTGTCTCATTTCCACAACATTAATTAACTTATGGTAAAAAATCAACAAAATGGTTTCTTAATTCACAAATCGTGGTTAACGAGAATATTCTATAAACTTGGAATCATGTTTGATACTTACCATATTAAACCAATAACGAACGCTGTTTTATTTTTATTATTGTGCATTCTGTAATGAATGGCCCATGTTACGCACCAAAACCTGTCAACTGAAATTGCAACAAGTGTAAATACTGAGGCAAATGTCATTGCAAAGTCAAAATAAATCCAGACCCCGCACATGATTGTCCCGAATGGCCAGTATCCCAACAGCGTATCTAACGTGTAAAACGTCATCGCCGTAATAGCAACGCTAAAATCCGTCACAGCCAAATTCAAAATAAACATATTAAACGGTTGCATCAGATGTTTCTCCATTACAAACGCCAAAAGTACCAAAAGGTTTCCGAAAATTATAAGAATGTCAAGAATCGCAAGAGTTATTGCCAATAAAATATTTGGGACGCTTGCGTCAAATGGCGGAGGTAGCCATTCGGATGTTTCGGTGCTATTTTCAAATTCCATCTTTTCAGTCGTCGCTGTAGCAAAACGCTTCGAAAAGAGTCGAATTATTAAATTAATCTTGACTATGTACAAAGCTCTAAATGTTTCCTTCCGCGCAGATTTTATCTATATTCTCTTAACAAATCAAAAAAGAGTTAATATCAAATACCTAATAACTGATTTGTGTTGATGTTTTTTCCACAACGTTACGCATAAAATAAAATACTTTGAAAGACGTTTTTAAATATTGTCTAAGATACTTAAAACTCAAATTAACATAACATTATTGTTCCATTATCTTTCAATATTTATTCAAGATTTATCATGCCAGTTCTTTAATAGATAATTATACCGATGTCACTTCAGGCAAGGTATTTGTGGAATGACAGAGATTTGTAAGCTGTGTTCGTCATCCTTATTGGAGACACCGTAACGCCTAGTGAAAAATATCGATTATAGAAATGTAGCAATAAACTATGAGAGAAAAGATCATCATACTGAGAAAGCAATATTTACAGAACGTCCCAGCCTCGAACACGCGCACACACGCACGCACGCGCACACACACACACACACACAACACACACACACAAACAAAATAGTGCCACAAAGGCCAAATCGTAGGGCGCAAAAACAGGAATGGGGCAACAGTGGGGGTGGAGAGGGCATTTAAACTAAATTTCGCTTTCCGTGAATAAGTGAATAAGCATAACCTTTATAATTGTCCGATATTGCAATGATACGTCATCTAGATAATCTTGGAGAATAAAACTCGTTAACTAAATAGCCTGTTGGTCCGCTACTGGTTCTTCTAATGCGACCATTGCAGTCCAACACCACGATCAGTCTACACTCATTGCTATTCAGCCTCTACATATTTTGAAACTTTCCCGGAAATTATGAATGGCTAAATGTCCATACTGAAAGATGCGCCACTGGTGAAAAAATATTGCACCTGGTGTTCACTCAGTGAAATATATTTCAATCTTACATGCAAAACAAACAAATATCCTCTATATAATGCCAATTTTCATGGGGTCAAAATTAAGTTGCTCTTTTTTAGGTTTCGAATAGAATATACCTTTTTATTTCCGGAACAGGGATATATTGCTACATGGTAAACTAAAATTGACATACAACGTATGAATCAAAACCTTTAATTTTTTGTATATTGGTTCGAGTTTTAAATCCAAATAAGGCTAGCATTGTTGTTTGTTTGCTGCAGTTTCAATCGGTTTTCATCCGTAGTTTATTCTTCGTCCATCTTATATATTGAATATAGACCAAATTATAGGCCTTATTTTGACAAAGAAATTTGAAGTTAAGAAGTTTCATGAAACATGGTTTTTCAAAAACAATAAATCATACAGCTTTGAAACTTCACACACTTTTTCAGACTGGATATCTTAGCATACGTTCTAAGAAAAACTCTGACTTGCATTTTTATCAAATTATGCTCATTTTTCGACTTTGAATTTGTGGTTAAGAATTTTCATGAAAAATGGTTTCTCAAAAACCTTTAAAACTTAAAACACATATTAATTGTTGACATCTAAGGTCAATGACCAAGTTCCGTATGAGTGGCACACAATTTGACATACCTATGCCCATTTTTTGGAGTTAAAAATGTTTTGACAGAAGGTTTATGCAATATGGTCCCATAAACCAGTTATGATATAATATAGAAACTATACTCGCTTGTCAGTATCAATAACATAGGACACCTGCCAAGTACAAAGTACGTGTAATTTGTATATACACTTTTGTATACAGTTATATATTGGGGGATTTTTAAATTTCATTTTGTATATACAGTTTGTATATTTATGTATTTCATTTCAATTGAGATAAAACATACTTTTAATGTTTTCAATTTTTATTCTAGTAAAGCTACCTGTAGAGCGTACTGTCAAATGATTTCAACTACAAACCAATTGCAAGACCATCAGCAATATATATTTGTCAAATTTTCAGAGCCAGTTTAGAAGACTAAGAGGTTTATTTGCAAAACAGCGTTAAATAGTACAGTTTAGCAAATACAAAATGTCCAAACACTGGTTAATTGGTTATCTTCGTTATTGTCTATGAAAATATTAAGACATTTTGGGAATACGAGTGTTCACCTTTTCACACTTGTTTCAGGCTTAAAGGTTGAGGCGCTCAATTATTTTCATTTTTTAACCCCACCACTTATTGTGGAGGCTTTATTGGAAACACGCAATGTAACGTCCCGATCTCTAATATGGTCGGTAGACAGTCCTTGGTGAGACAGAGAACATTGTGCAAAAATCATAAATTCATAATTCTGGCTTTCATAATTTTCAGTATTTGCCCATCGTAAATTTTCATACTTATATGAAGGGTATCGACATCAAACTTTGCATGTTCATATAGCTTGGCGAGGCAGAGTACAAAAGGAAAGAAACATACTTCTTGCTATTACAAATTTTAGTAAGTCCCCTTTGTTTTTTTTTGTTTGTTTGTTTTGCTTTGAATTTATTTCATACTTAGATTTTGTTAAGCTTTTATCTCAAAAACTGTTGAAGGCATCAACTTAAATTCACTGGCAGATACATCTTACCGAGACAGAGTGCATTGTGTTGTTATCAAAACTTTTGATTATGACATTAAATCGTTCTCCTTAGTTAAACATTTCATTTTTCGACATGCTGTGGGTTGGACGTATGCTCATTACGAAATACTATGAGATTTCCATAACATATAAAATAGGTCATTCTTCGAAAAACAAAAAACTTTTGGACGTTGTTTAATATATACATTATACAATGTATACAATTTCATAACTAGGAAATCTTTGGCTAGAGACTGTTTTTTTTTTTACTTTTGAACATTTAGAAATAAAGAAATAACGCCCTGACAACGATTTTAAATATCTTGACTTCAATAATAATACAGACACTCTAGCGTTGCTAGTTTACCTAATTTATCTTATGTTTTCAACACTCATGGTTTTCTTAGATTTTCATCAGAAACGTATCAACAATGTGTTGTTTTGTAGAAATATTGCATGTTTTCATGTCTTCTGTTACGTAAATACTAGTACTTGAAGCTTTTGTTGATGGCAGTATTTATTCTTAGCTGTTCCTCAGTGTTAGCTTTTAAGTAAGGCATATGTGCTGTTTTAGAAAAAAGAATACTTATCTCTGTATTTCTTATCTCTTTTGTTTTTAAATCTAATCAAAGCAGTTTTTGTTTTACATATCTGATACATTTGTTTTCTTATAAGACAACAATTTTGTTATACGAAATAAAGCACGGTTGTAAATTTTAAAAATGTTTGTTGTTATCTGTTTTAACGCATTTATTCAAAAAATATTATTGATAGCTCTGCCAACCTGTCAAGGTCTAGGCCGTGAGGTAAAAATCTTTGGTCTCTCAGTAGAGGTATATTTAATTAGTCTGTTGAGGGAGTTCGCTGGTTCCACACAGTTTACGTCTATAGTGATTGCTATTCTATTTCTACTTTGCTCATTTAAATCTTTTACATATAATTTTAATGGAACACTATCTCTACATAGATAAAGGAATTCTCTGTAACATTTAAATACTGTTTATTCCGGTAGTAAATTGCAAGTTTATTTTGGTTATAACAAAGTTACAATAACAAAATAATAAATTGTCAACAAATGAGCGCGATGTATTTTTATCATTCTGCACCAGATTCAATATGATAATGTAAATATGTACAAGTTTGAAGTAGAAATCATCAAAAGAGTTTTCAAGTCCTATTTATGTTAAAACCATTTTCTAAATTATATCTCCTTAAATTTAATTTAATGTATTATAATCCCTAACGCGTGTACCACAAGGAAAAAAGCGTACCAGTGAACCGCGACTAAATTCAACAAATAGTTAAATAATCTATTTCAAGATTTAAAAATGTTCACGTGTAATAAAGCTTAAATATATCTAAAAAAAAATAGCCCAAAACTGTTTAATCTGAATAAATAAATCGTTATTTATCAAGAATAGTTTAATTACTTTATCACGTAATGCTGCAGACGGCACTTATAAATGTCCCGAATTAAAACTTCTATACACATGATTTCACATAAACAATTGTTGTGATTCTTCACGTGCAAAATATCAACTATTATACAAACATATGAATGCAATAAATCTAATGCAAAATGAGGCTAGTGGCTAAATGTACAAACATTTTATGACTTCACTATCGGCTGATGTGCTTTTTTGGGTTTGGCGATTGTATCACAAATTTGTTTATTTTGCCTTAATCTAAAGTCAAGTAAAAGTAATGTTTATACCAAGACAAAGAGGAAGCCTGGGAGTAACATTTATTACTTATTAATAATAACTAATATTTATTAATTACATTTTAAAAGTTATAACTTATTAATAAGTATTTATTACTCAATTTTTAATATTTTATAGTTGCGTAATTATTTCCACATGTGTGCTGGGCAGGCATTGCTCCCTCCTGGGTGCCCGTTAGTGTCTTTATTAATACCAAAAGGTGCATTAGTAAAACTGGAAAAACATTTAAAATTCCAACAACGGCAACTTTATTTTAAATTAAACATGACCGTGGTATTGAAATATTGTTTAACGACATGAAGCTTTTAAAACATCAATAACTTTTAATTCAGGTAATGTAGGTCAATGTTTGTTAGGTTTCACGTCTTACCAAAAACTGTCATAGACATATGGCGACTTTCCAGTTTTACTAGTTAGAATGTGCTCCGTATCCCTCCTTAAAGTATATGTGTTCCGTATCATTTGAACCTGATAAACTAATGCTAAAACAGCAGTGCATTAATGTAAACATCAGCAAGAGTAAATCATGAAAAAAATCATATATTTATCTATAAAACAGTGAGAAAAAAAACAGACCCAAGTTTTCTCGTATAAATCAATAAAATATATAAAGAAAAAACACCGTACCATTTAACTTTTTGAAAATATGCTAACCATCACTGCATTCACTAGATATATTGGACTTAGTATTAGCATTCTCTTTTTTTTACGAAACAAGCAGTGTA